AAGCTCTGATTCTCCAACTCTTCAGCCAGATTGGACCTTGTAAAAACTGCAAAATGATTATGGATGTAAGGGTATTTTACTTAAGTTAACTTTCTTCTTTTTGACATACTTGTTAAAACCATTACCTCAAAGACTTCTTAGTTTATGTCTAAATTCATAGGGATTTTAGCATATTTATAATAAATCTGTCTTAGCAATGGATTTTAATTTATTTGCTAAATAAAGGAAGAGAACAGGGCTGGGGATGTGGCTCAAGCGGTAGCACGCTCGCCTAGCGTGCGTGCGGCCCGGGTTCGTTCCTCAGCACCACATACAAACAAAGATGTTGTGTCCACCGAGAACTAAGAAAAAATAAATAAATGTTAAAATTCTCTCTCTGTCCCCCTCTCTCTCATTCTCTCTCTAAAAAAAATTAAAAAATAAAGGAAGAGAACAGAACTACTAATCATTCCTAGAGCAGATAACTATATGTGGGTATGTATATATGTATCTAGGTTTTTGTTTTCAAATGCATTGAAGTATCAATTATTGTTCAGTTAATCTACAGTTTAAGTTATAATTAGACTAGAAACGGGGTTAAAAAAAATAAGATGCATTTAGTACAGTGAAAGTGTTTTTGTTTTGTGCCAGGGATTGAACATGTTTAACCACTGAGCAACATCCTCAGCCTTTATTTATTTATTTATTTGTAGTTGTAGATAGATAGCACACTTTTATTTTATTTTATTTTATTTTATTTTATTTTTTTATTTTTATTTTTTTTTTCAAAAGAGTGAGAGAGGGGGACAGAGAGAGAGAGAGAGAGAGAGGATTTTAACATTTATTTATTTTTTCTTAGTTCTCGGCGGACACAACATCTTTGTTGGTATGTGGTGCTGAGGATCAAACCCGGGCCGCACGCATGCTAGGCGAGCGCGCTACCGCTTGAGCCACATCCCCAGCCCACACACCTTTATTTTATTTGCCTATTTTTGTATGCAGTACTAAGGATTGAACTCAGTCCCTCGCACATGCTAGATAAGTAGTCTGCCACTCAGCCCCAGCCCCTCCATCCCCTTTTTATATTTTATTTTAGAAACAGGGTCTTGCCAAGTTGCTTAGGGCCTCACTAAATTGCTACAATTGGCTTTGAACTCTCTATTCTTCTGTCTCAGCCTCCCAAGTTGCTGGGACTGCAGGCATGTGCCACCACACCTAGCTGAAAGTGTTTTTAATTTTATTTTTGAGGGTCAAGTTTTTCTCACATTTAGGCAGTTCAAAATTAGGTAGAGACCTTAATAGGTAGAGAAAACAATAGAATTTACTCATATAATTGGTATTAACCCTGAATGATAATATGTATAGAAAAACAAATTTTTAAAAATTTGATGAGGATTTTATATTCCTGAGTATACATGCTGATAATGTATATATGCTTAGCTTATTTTTACTTGAAAAGTTTGTTTTTTTCTGGATACAAATTAGCATGCATGGGCTGGGATTGTGGCTCATTGGTAGAACACTCACCTCGCGTGTGAGGCACTGGGTTCGATCTTCAGCGCCACATAAAAATAAAATAAAGGTATTGTGTCCATCTACAACTAAAAATTAAATATTTAAAAAAAATAGCATGCATGATCTTTTCCATCTGTTTGCTCTAATCTTAATTGCAAGCTACTTTTTTAACCATATTCTTATACTTGAGAACATTGATCTTTGTAATAGAATTCTCATTAAGTTTATCATTAGTTTGAATTATATAATTTTTGTATTCTCTAATTTTTTTAACACAAAGTGTAGTCCCAGTATATTGAATTATGTGTTTGCCACTTTTGAATTTTGAATCAGTTCTGCTTAGATTACAGAAAGAAATAAATGAACTATTAAATTGTTTAGCGTTTTGCATTGATAGGTATAATATATTAGAATTTTTCTTTTTTTCTGCTTTAATTTATAATAAAACTACATATTTGGTTTGAGTGTAGCTCAACTTGGGTGTAGCATGTTTACCTAGCATTCTCAAGGCCCTGAATTTAGTCCCTAGCATCCCAACAAAAGTAAAAACAAAGCATCCAAGTTATCTTATCCCAACACCAGCAGAGAATAAGAGAATTTTTTTATATTAAAGCATTTTGGTTTTATTTGTTGTTATTAGATTTTTATTCTACTTCTGTCATCACAGTGAGAAGTAAAATTTAATATCTTTATTTATGTATTTTTATGTGGTGCTGAGGCTCAAACCCAGTGCCTCACACGTGCAGGGCAGGCTCTCTATCACTGAGCTATAGCCTCATTCCACAGTAAGCAAATTTATATGATACTAATCTAGTTGAGATTACAATTTTTTTTTTTTTGATGGGAGTGGATAAAGCTTAAATTTGACTTGTGTATTTGTTCTTAAACAGACAGCTGGAAACGATCCATATTGTTTTGTGGAGTTTCATGAACATCGTCATGCAGCTGCAGCACTTGCTGCTATGAATGGGCGGAAGATAATGGGTAAGGTAAGCTGTCATAATTCAAAAAGGTGACTTGTGCTGGTAAATTTTAAGTTATATGGTTTCATTTCCATTTTAGAAACATGTTCACTTTATCCTAAAAAGTCATTCACATTTAATATTAAAATGGCAGGATAAAGCTTTTAGAGGGGAGAGGCCTGTGTTTATGTTGGTATCATGCATGGTGCTTGAACATAAGTGCTAAAATACTTTTGAATTACTAAAGCTTGGAAGAAACTAAGGGAAAACATACATTGATACTATTTGTTTTAAAAAAAGGTTATTTGAATGTTAACAGAAATGTTTAAAGATTAGGATCTGTTAAAGTTATTGGCATAAATATAAGTCAAAATATGAGCATCAAAACTTGACTTGAGGAACTGGGGATGTGGCTCAAGCGGTAGTGCGCTCGCCTGGCTTGTGTGCGGCCCGGTTTCGATCCTCAGCACCACATACAAACAAAGACGTTGTGTCCACCAATAACCAAAAAATAAATATTAAAAAAAAAAAACTTGAGAGGCTGGGGTTGTGGCTCAGTGGTGGAGCATTTGCCTTGCATAAGGCACTAGGTTCAATTCGCAACACCACATATAGATAGATAGATAGATAGATAGATAGATAGATAGATAGATAGATGAATGTCCATTGACAACTTGAAAAATATTTAAAAAAAAAAAACACTTCACCAGAACTGGTGTTCAATGTTTCATCTCAGACATATCTTTCTTATGTATTCATAGATACAAATCTGATTTTGAGCTTTGTTTTTATGGAATATAAATGTAGAAAATTTTTTTTTTTTTTTTAGGAAGTCAAAGTGAATTGGGCAACTACTCCCAGCAGTCAAAAGAAAGATACAAGCAGTAAGTATATTTTATACTCTTTGAAAATTTGTTTTTGTTATACCCAGTAGTTTTATTGTAAAACATATAAACGTACATGTTTGCAGTAATGTTTTGATCGTTATCCTAAGATATGATTTAATGTGTTTGTGTTAATAAATTTAAGAACAAATCTAATCTTTGTCATCAGGTAGTACCGTTGTCAGCACACAGCGTTCACAAGGTAATTGTATCTTCTTAAACATAAAATGAAATCTCTTGAAAGGGTATTCACTAACCACCTGAATTTTTTTTGTCTGATATGGGAGGGGGGAGGGATTAGGTAGTAATCTCTTTGTTATGTCTCTTTGGCAATATTTTCCCCCTTCCTCCCAGCATTGACCAAGTGTGACTTGTCCACTACTGTGGTGCTAGTTCAAGGAATTCTCTTGGTAGCAGCTGATGTTTTAGAAATACTTTCACCAACTAAAAGACAAGATACCCTGCTTCCTTGAGGTCACCTGGGCTTCATATACAGATCTTCCAAGTGTTTGAGTTGCTCCTGAAACTTTACGGAAGAGCAACCCAATATGTTGCTTGAGGCCTACCACATAGGGGTAATTTTTCTTTCCAAATATTCTTTATCAAAACTATATATTTATACATATGTGACCATTTTAAAGTATTCAAAAATTTTGCATTTTTTGTGTTTCTTGAGAATTGTCTTTTTTAGAAAAGTTTCACATATAGGATGGTTATTTCTCTCCAATGCTTTTTTAATGGTTCTGATATAAAGTGAAGGGATTACTGTTTTCATTCTGTTGCCTTCAGTCTTAGTTCACTTGCACATGGATTCACATAAACTGAATGGTGTAATGTCTGGGCAACCAAAACTGTTGGCTTTTGAGAAAACTGTCAAATACTTTAACATCAAACTGTTGCAATGCAAGGTATTTCTTTGATTGTTCTTCACAAAATATGGTTAAACCAAGTATATGATGTAGCTAGCTTCAGTAAATTGTCTTAACTGAGGCCAATCTAGTCTATATAAATTAATACCACTGTTTTAATTTGTAAAGCCTTCATATAGTGGTAAAATGAATAAAAGTAAATAATTCCTTTCAGAATGTTAACTAAGTCTTTAAATTTTTACAGTTCTGAAGCTTGTTATATATTATTAGTTTATTCTCTTAGACCAGTATAATTGACTATAAATAGAAATATAACTGCAGTTTTCAGTTAGCTATATTATAGTCTTTTTAGAAGAATCTTTCCTATATTGTTACCTCAATGTATTATGTTTAAAATTGATAGGCTTTTTATAGAGATAGGATAGTTTTTTAAAATACTTTATTATAATCCATAAATTATATTAAGATTGCTTTATTGTATAAATTTTGGTCTTTTTTAAATTCTAAAGTTCTATTTTTCTTTTCACTTCCCCTTCTATCCCCTTATAAGATCATTTCCATGTCTTTGTTGGTGATCTCAGTCCAGAAATTACAACTGAAGATATAAAAGCAGCTTTTGCACCATTTGGAAGAATATCGTAAGTAGCAGAAGATAAATAAAATGTTTTTAATTAGAAACAATTTAAAAGTAATAAAAATAATTCTATTGTGAATTTGGGACATTAATTTTTAACTCTTGAATTATAGTATATTACATTATTTAGAGACCATTCAAGACTTTAAGAGCAAAAAATTGTTTTTCCATTAATAAATCTTTGATCTCTATCTTAAACTATTTTTTCAAAGATTTTAAGCATTAGTTTTTAAGAGACATTTGCATTGTACATATTATAGATTCTTATATAGGTGTCTTGCTGGCTTGATAATAATCTATAGTAACTTAGATTTATGATTAAGGAATTATTTGGGCACTTCTATGATACCATGCATTTTGTGTTAATGTAATTTAACAAAAAGAATTTTTAACAATAGTATCTAAAGGCAGCTATTAAGTTTATCTCCGAAGTATTTACCCTGTTTTTTAACTATTAACAATAATAGTGCCTTTATAGTATTTTATAAGGCACTATCTTGCTTGCATTTAATAATAATTATACATTTTAGGCCCATATATATCTCAGTCGAGGTAGCATTCATCATAGAAGAATTTTAATATTTTGAAAAGCATGCCATATTAGCATAAGAATAGCAAAAATTTTTTATAGTACCTTTTAAGGAGTAATGGTTGAATTTGGAAATAAATTTTTTTAGGATTTCTAGTACTTCAGTATTGTTTCAGATAGAAGAATAAGTAAAAGGAAGTTCTCACTTTGGTTTGTATTGAGCAGACCAAGAGAGAAATAAGGAGGTGAGGAGACGGCAAAATAAATGCCAGTAGCATTGCTGATGAATTTGGGGAGTTTTCATTTGAAGAGTTACAGTTCATTAGTATGGCCAACTTTTTAAGGCAGTCACAGATTAGGGCTTATAAATGGACTCTTGTTAGTGTTGACATTTTTCTTTTATTTCTTAATAGTTCCTCTTAGTCTGTCTAAGGGTTTCAGTAGTGGTTAGCTTGCTTTCAAAAATCTAGACTTGCAGGGCCTTAACCTTTGGCATCTCAAGGACTCTCTAAATTCCTTGCAAAATTGTGTTTGTTTTCATTTTGGTGTGGAGAATATAAATGTCATCCTATCCTCAGAGTAGTCACAGGACCATAAAAGGATTAAGAACCTTGGTCTAGGTCTTTGCTACTGCTTTTTCAGGGAAGCCTTTCAGAGAGAAATAAGTAACAATTGAGTATATTTGGAAACTGATATTTCCTGAAGCTTTAAAGAGAAAAACCTCGATCTAACATTGCAAACAGATTAAGTAGCTGTTTTGTTAAATGCTTTGATTTTGATTGAAGCAGGTTTTCCAAAAATGAGAATTTTAGTTTGGGATTAAATAAAGATTATTTTAAAAATTTTGTGAGTTTAGATTAAATAACTTTTTTTAACAGTTTCTGATTTTTTAAATCATGGATCAGTAATTTCGTTTTGTTAAATATGTTGGTATCATATTTTCAGTCTGTAGATTTTCTTTTGGTCCCACAATTACTGATGTGTACATTAGTTGTTTTCTTGGTAAGGCCTTTCTTTAATGTTATAATTTTATATTGAGGTATTATGCAATGTCTGAGTTTTAGGCTATATAAGGAGTTAGTTTTCCTAAACTTAAAAGACAACTGACAGCATATTTTCCTGACTTTTCTTTCTTTCTTTAATTTTTGATGGTGGTTGTTGTTAAGAGATAAGTAATAACTATATGTTGAAGGGTTCTCATGATAGGCATTTTTAATAGGGAGCCTTTAACAGTGCTTTATTTTCTAGAAGGTATATAATAAACAGTGGCCTATTAAAAATTTAGTATAAGAAATATAATACTTCCCTAATTTACAGAACTTAAACTCCTCATGTTTCTTGAGTTTAGGGTAATGTAGCATATTTTGGTATAGAAGTGAATCACATACCAAATTAAATGCATGTGTACCATACAGGTAATTTAATAAGTTAATTTTACATTTTGTAAAGTGACTTGCTTTAGTTTTCCCTTTTCACCAGCACTTCTTGTCATTTTGACTACACTTAATAAATCAATTTCTATATTGATCTAAAATATGCTTATGTATACTTTAATATGAAATTACATTGCATGGCTTTCTGACTTGGGTTTTTGTTATAAAAGTGCCTGTTTTGTTCATGTGTCCTGAGAGAGCAAGCATTGTGACATACCTGGCTAAATTAAAAGCAGATTGTGAAGCACATTATGAGTCCAATTTTTTGAGGTATGGAGTTTTAGCTATCATGGCTGGGTTTTTACTCAATCTCAAATAATAGGGCTCTGGTTATTTTGCAGAGTGTCTCTGAAGAATGGACAGAATTGCCCTGGCTAACTACAAGCTACGGTTCACAGTGGATAAATGTTGGCGTGCTTTTTTACTTTCTGACTTTTTAAAAATTTTGCTTTTATATCTTATAGTTTCCAATCAATCTTAATATGAATGCTGTTATAAAATTCAGTATAAAATCTTGTATATTTTAAAACTGAAGTGTATCTAGTATTCTTCTTCAATGATTTAACATTTCTCAAATTATGAAGTTCTCAAAATTTACCATTCCCAAAAGTGGGGGGTATAAATTGATCCGAGAAAATGAAATAATTTAGTTAGTTTAGGGAATATACAACTTTTTAATTCTTTTATTTCCAGTTCTCTATTTTAATTTTTTATGATTAGGTAGAATATGGTATCAAATAGCAAATTATAAGTTGCATGGTTAAAGAAAGCCAATATTTAATGTGCCTGGAAACTTTATAAGTGGTTAAATAATTCATGTGAATAGCTACTTTTACAATGTCTAATATTTAAAAGTTTAAAAAACATTTTGAAATGGGAGGCAATTTCTGAATAATATATACAAATATTTAAGAAGTTATTGATTTGCATGTTTATAACATAAAGCCTCACTTGTTAATACATGTAAATTTGTAGATTAAAAGGTAAATTTACATTAAAGGTTTACTTTAATGAAGGTGAAACCTGAAAATGAGTTGTATATAAAATTTTCATTTTATATCTAGAAGACAGTTTGCAAACCTAAACTTCTGGTTGTTTCTGTTTTCAGAGATGCCCGAGTGGTAAAAGATATGGCAACAGGAAAGTCTAAGGGATATGGCTTTGTCTCCTTTTTCAACAAATGGGTGAGCTCAATCAGAAGTGCATGTGCAGTGCTTTAAGAGTAAAAGACGTAAAAAGTTTATTTTTCTTACATCTTTTATTTTGCCAATAATTAGCACCCTCACTAGAAGATATCTTCTTTCTCCTTTCTGATTATTTAGTCAACATTTATTTAACATGTGATGCATACAAAGTACTGATACAGTGTTTCAGAATATACATAGTAAAGATATTTAAATTATCAGCCAAAAGTAGATGTTAAAAATCTCTGTTATGGGGACTGGGGACATGGTTGAATAGTAGATCACAGCTTAGCATGCTCCAGACCCTGAGTTCAATCCCCAAGCACCTAAATAGAAGGAAGGAAGGAAGAAAGAAAAATCTTGTTATTCCCCTTTTATATTTCCAGAGTAATTAAAAAGTAAGTAATAAAATTCTCTGATGGTTGAGAACCTCTTTAAAAAAATGATACATTGTATTGAAACTTCTCATATTTTCCTTTCATTCTACAAATAGTTATTGAACCCCAATTTGCATTAATTTGAAATTTCTGATTTTTGTAGAGACAAGGAAGGGTAGCGTACTCGTTGTAGAAAGATTTCTATAGGTATTATTAGCTGGAAAGCTAATTTTCATTAAAAGGAAAGGGACTTGTATTAAAGTGTGTTTGGGGTTTTTTTTTTCCCTTGTGGGGATAAAAAAGTCTCTTAGCAGGGTTTTGGGTCTGGGGGTAGTTGTTGAGAAACAAGCAGATGAAGTAATACACTGTACATTGTGTTGTAGTTGATAATGTAAGTATATTATCAATTCAAATAATTAAGTGCTTAAAACTTTTTAATATAACTAAAGGTCAGAGCAGTTAAATGAAGTAGGATCACACTTGCAAAACTACAGGGATACATGTGGGAGATTTATTTTATTTTTAATTTTATTTATTTATATTTATTTTAGTTGTTGAGGCACCTTTATTTTTTATTTATATGCAGTGCTGAGAATTGAACCCAGTGCCTCACACATTTAAGGCAAGCACTCTACCACTGAGCCCCAACCCCAGTCCAGGAGAATTTATATGTACAAATCTTTCAGCATATACTACATTTGCATTAAACTTTGAATTTTATTGTTCACCATTATATTAAGACAGGTAGTTGCCTAAGATGAATACAAAGCAATGTATTTTCTGTATTGGAGTACCTTAGAATGAACCATTAAAAGTTAAAAAATAAAAATAAAAAGTTTTTCAAACTTGACATGTCGGTGCACACCTATAATCCCAGGATGATGTCAAGTTCAAGGCCAGCCTGGGCAACTTAGTAAGACCCTGTCTCAAAAAAAATCATTTTTTTCTAGTTCCTGTGTCTACTTACATTGACCTATGTCTGATTATTCCTATGAACTTTTACCATCTAGATATGTACTATAACTACTTATGATCATTTGCCCCAAATTTACTGTCCAAATTAGAAATTTGCTTTAAAAGCCTAGATATGGCTAGCAGGGCCAAAAAAGAGAATATAAAATGTCCTGCAATTATAATTCAGTCATTTTCAGAACAACTTATGTCTTCTGATCAGATGATCCGGTGGTTGTGTCAATGTATAATATAGCTATCATCTTTACTATATAAAATAAAACTGTCTTCTAAAAAAAGAAAAATCTGTGAAGAAAATAGGTAAGCTTATAGTATTGGAAAGAACCCATATATTAGAAGAAAAGTTAGAAATTGTAAAAGCATCTTGACAAGTGAAAAGAAACAAGATCAGTCATGTATGTGTCCCATCTATCAATTATAAGATATTTTTCCTATAAGGTGAGAAAATAAAAATAATTATGAAGCATAGTTTTACTTTATTGTTAGTCACAGTATAGTATTTTGGAAAGATAAACAATTTATACGATGGATTAATAGCCACAATTAATTTGAGTTCCTTAGGGTATTGAATTCATAGGTTTTGAAGGTGGTTAATACAATGTAGGGAAATGAAGTTGCAGGTTTGGGTGGACTAGAACTCATTTTTCCCATTTGAGAATATGGAATGTAAGTTTCTACTATTTAAAAAAATTACTAGTGAATGCATATTTAGTAAGAACTAAAATCAAATGGTCTTTGTTTAGATGAGTCACAGACATCTTAAACTTATAAGCAGAACTCTTCATTTATCCCTCAAACCTATTCCTCACCTCCTTCCTAGTCTGTTCTCATTTTAGTTAAAGCTGACACTGTCCTTCCAACTTCTGAAGCAGGAACCTAGGAATTATCTTAGATTTGTCCCCTTTTGCTTACTGTGTCCTCCCCAGTACCCCATTTTGTTGGCCTTTCTTTTAGATTATAGCCACAGCTACTGGCCAACAGCATTTTAAAAAATCTGCAATGTTGAAGTAGTCTCAAAATGTCCTTTTCCTTTTAATATCCATTCCCCTAAGTCATTTTTCTTCTAGCACTAAGAATGCCCTTAAAACATGGATCAAGCTGGTATGGTGACATATGCCTGTAATCGCAATGGCTCAGGAGGCTGAAGCAGGAGGATCTCAAGTTCAAAGCCAGCTTCAGCAACTTAATGAGGCCTTAAGCAATTTAGCAAGACCCTTTCTCAAAATAAAAAATATATTTTATAATAGCCTCAGCCTCTTGGTTCAATCCCTGCTACCAAAGAAAACAGATTAGATCATGATGCACTTTCTTAAAGTTTTTCAGTTCTCTGGCACTCTCCCTTTTTATGCACTAGATTCTGTTGAAACTAATCTTCCACATGTTTTTGTGACACAGACCAAACTCTTTCCTGCCTTAGAACTGGCAGTGCTTTTCCATCTACTGGGGCTTACTTCCCCTTTATTTTGACTTGGCTAGCTTCTGCTCTTCACAGTCTCAGATTATGTCATTTTAAAAAGTACTTTCCTGCCAGGCTTGGTGGCACACACCTATAATCCCAGTGGCTCGGGAGGTTGAGGCAGGAGAATCACGAATTCAAAGCCAGCCTCAGTAAAAAGTGAACACTAAGCAACTCAGTGAGACCTTGTCTCTAAATAAAATACAGAATAAGGCTGGGATGTGGCTCAGTGGTCAAATACTCCTGAGTTCAATCCCAGTACCAAAAAAAAAAAAAGCATTTTCCTACTCATGCTGTCTAAAATAGATCCCCATGCCCATATTATTTATTTTAGTATTTTGTTCCTGTCATGGTACCTACCACAATTTATAATTGCTTTTTGTCCTCCTACCACAGTGTATTCCCAGCTCTTAACCTAGTACCTAGAACTCCCTATTTACTTTTAAATGAATGAGAAACCCAATACTATCATAAATAAGTTTGTTGGGATCGTGTAAAATAAAATTTTTATTTATATTAGGTTGAATTTTTGCATAAAGTTGATGATAGCTACCTTATTATTAGGGGATTGGGACTCGGACTTTTTCAGATAATTAATGTTACCAAAGTCTGATATCCAAAAAAGATAATTAAAAGGCACCATTGCTGTGTGTGTGAGAATGATACCAGAGATTGAACCCAGGGGAGCTAAACCACTGAACTATATCCCCAGCCCTATTTATTTTTTATTTTGAGGCAGGGTCTCTCTAAGTTGCTGAGGCTGCCCTTGAATGTGGGGGCTTCTCTTGCCCCAGCCTCCCCAGCCTCTGACATTACAGGTGTGTGCCACTGTGCCCAGTTTAGCACCATTGCGTTTTTTGGTGGGGGATCAAACTCAGGGGCACTCAACCACTGAGCACATCCCTAGTCTTAATTTTGTTTATTATTTAGAGACAGGGTCTCACTGAGTTGCTTAGTGACTCACCATTGCTAAGACTGGCTTTGAACATGCAGCCTCCCTAGCTGCTGGGATTACCTAGGCATGCGTCATGGTGCCTAGCATCACCATTGCATTTTTAGAAAGCTGTCATAAATTGTATGTTTAATAAAGTACCTTCACTAAAAAACACTAACAGAAAGCACAAAGTTATGTCTACCGCTAAAAGTTGTTTACCATCTACTAATGGTATATTCTTTGTCATTTCTAATATTGTGCGGAACAGGATGCCGAAAATGCTATTCAACAGATGGGTGGCCAGTGGCTTGGTGGACGACAAATCAGAACTAACTGGGCAACCCGAAAGCCTCCAGCTCCAAAGAGTACATATGAGTGTAGGTGTATTGGAGAAGAAAAGGAAATGTGGAATTTTGGAGAAAAATACACTAGATTGTAAATGTTAGAGCTGTTCCCGGAGACTTATTGCAGAAATAGATGAGAAGCAAATCAAGACTACTGTTCAAAAATGTACTTAGTTTTCATTTTTGTAATTTTTAAATAGTAAATGATATTCAATCTCTAATGTCAAGTCTCCTATTACATAGAGAATACTGGGTAATTTTTTAGACATTCTTGGGGGAGGTTTAATCCTAATGTCAAATGTAATGTGTGTTCTCTAAGCATTTTGATCAAATATTGCTATTATAGTAGTGTAGTTAATGTTGCTTTTGTCCTTCTAAACATTTATTTAATGAATTGAAAATGTAAAACTTTTTCCTTCTCCAGCAAACACTAAACAGCTATCATATGATGAGGTTGTAAATCAGTCTAGTCCAAGCAACTGTACTGTTTACTGTGGAGGTGTTACTTCTGGACTAACAGGTATGGGAGCTTTACCTATGTGCTATCTGGAAATTAATCTTTAAGCTGAGAAGCTTAATATTTGTAGGATTTTACTATACCTGAGTGTGGTTTCTTTTGTTTTTGTTTTTTGTCTAACAGAACAACTAATGCGTCAGACTTTTTCACCATTTGGGCAAATAATGGAAATTCGAGTCTTTCCAGATAAAGGATATTCATTTGTGAGGTAGGGATGGTTTTTGTGAAAACTTTTCCCCTTCAAATAATTTCTGAACATTTAACAATGGTTTCTTAAGAATTTACCTCATTTATAAAGACATGGAAATTTCTCTAGCATATGGCATTTTTACTCCTGTATGTTTTATTCTCCCTTCTTCCAACATATCCTCTATTTAGAAATGTTTCTCCAGAACTAAAAGATCTTCTAAAGAAATGGCAAAGAAAACCAACCAACTGCTTGTTCTACCTTAAGATCATCTTGATCTTTTTTCCCCTGCCAAACGGCTATTGAGTTTATTTGCCTTGATTTTAAAAATAGGTCTTATTCTTAAATTCAATTTAAAAGAATTTTTATTGATTCTTAATATTGTTTTCAATAGGTTTAATTCCCATGAAAGTGCTGCACATGCAATTGTTTCTGTTAATGGTACTACTATTGAAGGTCATGTTGTGAAATGCTATTGGGGCAAAGAAACTCTTGATATGATAAATCCGGTGCAACAGGTAAGAGGGTCCTGAACTTTGGGAAGTAATTGCTAGGTTAATATTAGTAAGGTTATTTTAAAATGAGAATTGTTGATAATCTTTGTTAATAAGTGTCTAGTTCAATTCATAATATATAAGAGCTCTTTCTATATGTATTATAGTTCCAGAGTAGTGTTTTCATGGATTGCAGTGCTGACATGATGAGTGTTACTGCCTCAATTGACTCATGCTCACACAGTGAATTTTAAAATGCTCTGACAAACCTAACAGGGCATTAAGTCTTTAATACTTGGTAGATTTATTCACATACTATTTGGAGAATTCACAGGTGTGCTTGACTCAACTGATTAAAAAATAAAGCTATAGGGGCTGGGGATGTGGCTCAAGCGGTAGCGCGCTCTCCTGGCATGCATGCGGCCCGGGTTCGATTCTCAGCACCACATACAAAGATGTTGTGTCTGCCAAAAACTGAAAAATAAATATCAAAAAAATAAAGGTATAAGTATGTTTAGCGCCTTGGAATTTCTTCCAGATTTTGCTGTTTTTTGTTTTTCTAGGCAACTTTAAACTTGATCTCATAAAGATTTTTTTGAGGAAGTTATAAGTGGAGCAGAGAGGTGGGAGTAAGAAAATCCTAAACTATATAGATTTCTTCATTTAAGTAAATAATTTACCAAACACTTAAACATTATATTAAGTTTATTGTTGGGGCAATAAACATTATATTAAGTTTATTGTTGGGCCTTATAGACTATAGAAAATGATGTAGAGTTGCAGCAGGAGAACCTAAGGGTTTTTTTGTTTGTTTGTTACCGGGGATTGAATTCAGGGGCACTTAATCACTGAGCCACATCCCCAGCCCTTTTTTTGTATTTTAGAGACAGGGTGTGGCTGAGTAGCTCCTTGCTAAGTTGCTGAGGCTGGCTTTGAATTCTGGATCCTCCAGCTTTAGTATCCCTGACTGCTGAGATTACAGGCATGGGCCATGCCATTTGGCCCTAAGGGTTTTTTTTGTTGTTGTTTTGTTTTGTTTTAGTAATCACTAAATTATTGTTTATCCTGTCATTTTAATTATAAAGATGTTTTTTATATGTTTTTTTAAGTATTTGTTGTATATCAAGAACTGCATATATACAAATAATTTTGAATAATACTAAATTATCTCTTATAATTTTACCTAATAGCAGAATCAAATTGGATATCCACAAGCTTATGGCCAGTGGGGCCAGTGGTATGGAAACGCACAACAGATTGGCCAGTATATGCCTAATGGATGGCAAGTACCTGCATATGGAATGTATGGCCAGGCATGGAACCAGCAGGGATTTAAGTAAGCATGTTTGACCTTTTGCTTTATTAACATTCGAAAATGTCCATTTTAAGTAATTAGTAGGCAATGTGGCCCCCTATGCAAAGCACAACTATAACCTTTGAAGGACTTACTGCTAGAATAGTAATTTATGGTTTGGTTTGATACTGGAGATTGAACCCAGGAGCACTTTACCAGTGAGCTACATCCCCAGAACTTTTTATTTTTTGAGACAGGGAGGGTCTCACTAAGTTGCCCAGGCTGTCCTCAAACTTGGAATCCTCCTGCTTCAGCTTCTTGAGTGTCTTGACAGTAAACACATGTGCTACTATGCCTGCCTAATTTATAGTTTTAAATAATTATCTTTAAAAATTTGCCTAGAAGGCTAGGGATGTAGCCCAGTGGTAGAGCATTTGCCTAGCATGTGCAGGCCTTGGGTTCGATCCCCAGTACTGCCTGGGACGGGGGCGGGGGATGTTTTTTTGTTTGTCTGGGTTTTTTTTTCTTCTTGGTGATTTTTCCTAGAAACTTGTTGCCTTGAAGTATAATCAGAGTCATACAAATTCTGGTAATGTTTGGTAAGAAAATCAACTAATTTTTTTAGTGAGGGAAAAAAGTGCTTAATAGTTGTTAAGCCTTTCAGACGACTAATGGTCACTTAGCCATTCTTAGATGCACATTTTTTCAATCCAAGAGTAAAGTATTTGTTTGCATTTAGTGAACTTCTCTCCACATGGCTTTTAGCTACCAAGGACATAGTCACACAAAAAAAATCTCCTCAGCTCTTCTAGAGAGGAATTTGGACTTAATGATGATGGTAACTGGCTACTTTGAGAATTTTCCCTTTCCCAGAACTGTAGTAGCTAAATTGCACCACATCACTGGTGGCAGCAGTTCCAGGCTTGTTTTGGCAGCACTTTATCTGCTCACTGACCAACGTTCAATTTTATTAAGTCTGACAGTTTGGTTTATTAAGTCTGACAGTTTTTGGTAATACCTCATACCATCTTTCGAAAGTAACCAAGTGCTATTTGTCAGAATTGATTCTATGGTAATAATACACGCCACCAGCATTATCCTGGCTTCCCAGGTGCTTTTGGTTCTTGCCACTGCAGCCCTGGCCATGCTCACTTGGCCCTGAAGTTTCTTCAGTCCCTGGTCGTCGTCTTTCTAATAGCATATCAGCAACTGAAACAAAAGAGTAGTATAGGAGCTGGGGTTGTAGTTCAGTGGCTGAGTGTTCGCCTCACATGTGTGAGGCACTGGGTTTGATCCTCAGCACCACATACAATGTTGAAAAATTTATGAGTTACACATGCTCATACTTATTTTAATTTCTTTAAGTAATATAAATGCTAGTTTTTTTGTTTTATCTTGTTGGGTGCTGGGGATTGTACCTAGGGTCTTGTACATGTGAGGTAAGCATTTTACCACTGAGCCACATCCCCAACCCTAAATGCTAGTACTTATTATACCAAATGATGGAGTTTCTTTCAGGTAGTAACTTACTCAGTTTAAGTGCAACTCAGAGGGAGAATATATAGATTTTTTTTACTTTACTTTTGCGTTTACTTTCTCTCGCTATACAGTTACTTTTATATTTGGGTTTAAGTAAAAGTATGTTTTCCCTTTCCATGTTGTGATTTGTTCTTAGCATTGCATTGTTTTAACTGGTAGATGTCCCTTCTCTTCTGCTTCTTTCATCTTCTCTACCAGTCAGACACAGTCTTCTGCACCTTGGATGGGACCAAATTACGGAGTACAGCCACCTCAAGGACAGAATGGCAGCATGTTGCCTAATCAGCCAGCGGGGTATCGAGTGGCAGGGTATGAAACCCAGTGAAAAAGGACTCTAGAATATAAAGCCAGTGGCTTGAGGCTACAGGGAGTGTAGTAAAGCCGTTGTTTACTTAAAAGATTTATCAAATCAGTCAGTGCAAATATCAGATACAATGTATTTATTTAAAAGATTCATTTTTTTAATCATGAAATTACTTATCATCCACATTGTTTTTAAAAAGAAACAAGATGCTGGATGTCTGCCAATTTTTGCCTTCATTACCTTTTTTGATAAAGTTTCTCAGATCCTTGTTTCAAATACAAATGCAGGGATTGCTGCCACTTTTTAAAAATTAAGAGGCAGAAAATTGCACAATGTTGAACATTTTTCCACTAAAGTAGTGTGCAGTTCTAGTTTGCATTCCTGATATGATTTAAAACATGTAATGTAAAGATGGTTTTAAAAAAAGAAAGAAAGAAAAACCAAAACTGTGCAAAGTCTAGAAGTTCTTTGTTATCTTCAGCTTGTGCACAATTCTGTTTTAGATTAAAAAAATAATAGGCATTGTTTGAGCTGTCCCATCTTCACTGTTACCCCTTGGGGTTTTTAAATATAAATTATTAGTTTACATCATTTTTGTATTTACATTTTTTCACAAATTTGTCTTGCCTTATTAAAGTTCTGTAAAATATAGTTAAATGGAAAAAAATGATGTTCGCTTAGATTGAAAACTTTTCTCAGATGGATTGATAATTGCATTCATCTTGTGTTTTATATGAGAAGGTGCCTCAAGAATTCCGTTGGATTTGTTTAAAAGGATTTTTATCTTCTGTGATAAACTTTGCTGTGTACCAGGAACTGTAAAAACAAAAACTTGTTACTCAAGAAAAATCTCTGAAATGTGATAAGTTCTTATGCCATGTAACTTTCATGTGTCAACTTATACATTTACATGTATTATTTCATTATGTAAAATGTTTTAGCAGTTTAATATTTTGCACAGTTACCAAACTTTGTATGTCATTTCCTTTTTAAAGGCATCATGCAGAGTTGACATAAGATTTATAAGGTTTTAGGTTGTTTGCATGTGAATATCAAATACATACTTTGGTAGTCTTTGAATACAAATTCATCTCTTGTTTTTCAAGAATTTTGAGACACAAAGTTTTATGTAAAGGAATATAATTTGCCATTTTCTAGTTAGATTTACTTAAAAAGAGTAAATCAACTTAATATGTACAAATGATAGCTGTGAAACTGTAGAATATCCTTATGTCAGGCTTGGGGTTCCTTATAAACTCCAAAAATAGCCTGAAGGACCAGCCGGGCAAAGCATTTTTTAAATGTTCAGAGGCCAAAAGATAAATAAAAACAAACAAAAGAAAAAAAAAAAAAGAAAAGAAAACCTTAAAATCCTACCTCCTTAAACAGCCTTCAAAGAAGAGAATCCTCAGTGCAATCACTATTTTGATTCTTTGGGTACCTGTTTTATTGGAGTTACCAATTTTATTATTTTGGTGTGGCTCCGAGCATTAAGAGGTTTAATCTTTGATGGCATTGTTCTAGTTTTGAAATTTCTAGTACATTTCAGAGTCTCTTAGAAGAGTTGTGGGAGATGTGATTTTTGTTTTGTTTTCAGTGAAGGTCACAAATCCTCCTTGACTCACAGAGAGGAAGGATCCCCAGTGTATGTGTTTAAAAGGCTGGTGGTTTTTAAGATTCTCCGAGAGCTCCCAGTATTTTATTTAGGAACCACAAAGGCCTGTGAAGTCAAATGAGTTTCCTGGCCTGTATCTTCCAGGTAGGACAAATGACTCTAAGCTGGTCTCTAAGCCAATAATACTTTGTAAACCAGAGCCCAGGAAAGACAGCTTGTAAGTGTATAGTTTTCTGGAGCTCAATTCTATGCAGTTGTACTGATGTTTCATTAAGTCACTGTGTATTTTTAAGTGTTGATAATACATTAAAAGTTGCTTTATGGAAGATGAGTAAATTTTTCAAATACTTGGAAATGTTATTTCCTTGTTAACTTCTACAGATCAGGGCATGCAACCAAAAGCAGCTTAAATACTCAAAATAAAATATCAGGAAGCTATTTTTAGATTCTTCTGGCTTATGTTTCTATTTTAGAAGCCTCATTTTTCTCTTATTAAAAAGTATTTTCCTATACACTCATGGACTGCAGGGTAAGTTGTTTGGGCATAAGTAATTTAATCTGAACACAAGTGTAGCTTTCTTCTCATTTTGACTATCTCAAGTAGTAACAGTTTTTATTTGCCAGTATATTTTCTTACTGTACAAGCTTTCAACTGTACATTGACTACTTTTTGAGGAGAAAGAGATACCCAGTATTCAGAATGAAAAGGTCACTACTGAAAAAATTCATATTTCAGAAACATTGCTAACTTTGGTTTAAACCTTAGTGTTAAAACAAGTCATTTAAAGATTTTTCAGTCTAAAAAATCATACTGGAATTAGTATCAGGTAAGGAAATTAAAATTTTAATAATTTCATTCTCTGCAATATGCATTCAGACTTTCTGGTACTGTAAAGAACCTGAAATGATTCACTCTTAATGGGTCATTTTAATCCAGAATTCTTTACCCTGTTTGGATATTAAAGTTCCTTTATGTTTTCTATAACCTGTGGGATCTTCTTGGCAGTGATTATTGTGTGTGAGAATTTTTTTCTTTTTGGTCTAGCCAATTGTTATATTCACTCATTCAGATGTTTATATATTTTAATTCTTATTCCAAAAACCGTGGCTTGCATTGGGTTAGCTGTTTAATACCACAAAGAATTTGCATTCTGCAGTTTTAACTAAATGTGAAACTAGGGTCTCATTTTCCTTGTTAATATTGTCTCCTTTTGAAAATGAGATTCACATTCTAGTTTTTATTCTCCTGTTTTATTCTTGTGATTGGTCATCTTCCTTTTATGTAAGCATTAGAGTCCCATTTAAAAAGGCAATCGAAAAGGACTAGATTGCACTTACAAAGGGAGTGACTAAATTCACTAAGTGAATTAGGAAAAAAAAGTGTTTGGGGCTGGGGTTGTGGCTCAGTAGAGCGCTCACTTGGTGCGTGTGAGGCCCTGGGTTCGATCCTCAGCACCACATAAAAATAAATAAATAAAGGTATTAGGTCCAACCGCAACTAAAAAATAAATATTTTTTAAAAATGTATTTATAGAAACTAAAAAAGCAAACCTCTTAAATGATTTTTAGATACATTTATGCCTTTATAGTGGGTTATTCCTATTACATCTTATTTCATCCACTCCATTTTGACTGCTGTTTAGGATTTAAAGACCATAACTCCAAAACTCTGAATTTTAATTTAAAAGCTTTAATAAAATGATTGAGTATGTTCCATTTGAATAGGATTTTTCTCCTTTCATTTGGAGACTTTTATTCACATAGATATCATATAAGGAATTAACCAAATATAAAGTCTATAAATATTTATAGTGGATTACCTTGAGTGAGTACCCTTGAGTTATTAAAAATTTCTGTTTTATTCAGTCATCTGCAGCACTGGATTTGGAACTGAGATTTTTACCAAGATTGACCAGTAATAATGATTTCTGAAATGGGAGGCTAATGTTACTCTGATAAGAATTCAACTGAAAAAAGGAAACAGTATACTTCCTTACTAGGCCATGCTGTACAGAAAAGGAACATTTACTGTATAAATTCATATTCCCTAGCATCTTATCTTTCTTCAGCTCTAGAATATATATATCCACCAGGCAAGATGTTGGAGAATCCTTCTGTGAAAAAAACTGAATGACTACCAAAAGGTAGACACTGACATTTGAAACTCCACCAAAACAAAAACAAAAATTGGCCATTAGTCACCCTACTTTGAATTGTGCCAGTCAGAAATACTAAAAGACAAGGAAATGGGCTGGGGCAAAGCATTTGCCTTGATCCTCAGCACCACATAAAAATAAATAAAATAAAGGCATACTATCCAAATACAGCTTAAAAAAAAAATCTTTGAATAGAAATCAAAAGCAAAGAGAAGTACTTGCTTTGGCAGCACATATTAACATTGGAAAAGCACAGAAATTAGTATGGTCCCTGCACAAGAATGACAGGCAAATTTGTAAAGCATTCCAATTCTTTTGAGGTTATTATGTTAAGTGAAATTAACCAAACTCAGGAGGTCAAGAGTCTTATGTTTTCTCTCATATTTGAAAACTAAAGGAAAAGGATAAGAAAGGTGGAAGAGGTGGAAATCTCATGAAAATATCTAAGAGAGATAAGTAGAACAGAGGAAAGGGATCAGAAGAGAGAGGAGAGGGAAAGGGGAAATACTGGGGGGTGGTATTGAGCAAATCATTGTTGTGTGCATGTATGAATATGCAACCACAAACCCCACTATTATGTACAGATATAATCACCAGTTTTTTTAAAAAATGGAGAAAAAAAGCAAAGGGAAAAAAAAGTTGGACCAATTTAGGAGACAGTATACAACTAATCAGACTCCAGGAAGAGAACTTGAGATTGTGAGTGGAATTTGAAATTTTTTCCTGATGAAATGATAGGTTTGGGGATCATAACAAAGCTATTATTGAATTAAAAACCTGTACCACTAAGAAATTTTGGAGGGGCTGGGGATGTGGCTCAAGCGGTAGCGCACTCGCCTGGCATGCATGCGGCCCGGGTTCGATCCTCAGCACCACATACCAACAAAGATGTTGTGTCCGCCGAGAACTAAAAAAATAAATAAATATTAAAAAAAAAAAAAAGAAATTTTGGAACATTCTAAAAGTTGTGAAATGGAAAAAGGACAGAATAATACTCGACTTTGATTCTCAACAGCAACATTGAAAATGAGGGGTCAATAGGATATTGCCTCCAAAAATTTGTATGAATTAGCCATGGTGGTACACACCTATAATCCTAAGCACTGAGGAGGCTAAGGTAGGATGATAAGTTCAAGGCCAGCTTGGGCAACTTGACAAGACCCTCTCTCAAAATGAAAAAAAAAAACAAAACTGTGGATGTATATAGTTCAGTGGTAGGGCCAGTATGGGGGAAAAAAGAAAGTATGATGGAGTGTCTAGAGATGGGATTCAGCACAGGAATGGATAAAGGGAAGTGCTAGGATGATGGCTTTGAAACCACTTGGCAGCCAGTCTACACTGATGGTCAGAGGCGTAGACCTTGTTATTAGGTTGAACTGTGTAGAGTTAGATAATGGAACATTTTTATAGCAGTATGGAAGATGTAAAAAAAAACATGTACTGGTCATAATAAGGGAAACTCTGAAATGGGATTCAATTTAAAAAAAAAAGAGTTCTATTGACAAGGGTCTGTGAATTAAGATGCGAATAATAATAGGTAATACTAAACTGATGAATCAAATATGCTGGGGGCTGAGGAAATCGCTCAGTTGGTAGAGTGCTTGCCTAGCATGCACAAAGCCCTGGGTTCAATCCCCAGCACCACACACACACACACACAAAGCATATTCTAAGTATGGAGACAAACCAATGGGGAGATAGACTCTCCTTTAATTTTCTCATTTGCAAAATGGAAATAGTATTATCTGTTCCATAGAGAAGCAGAGAATTAAGACAGCACATAGTGAGGCCCTAAGCAACTTAGCAAGACCCTGTCTAAATAAAATACTTTAAAAGGGGCTGGAGATGTGGTTCAATGGTTAAGCAATCCCTGGTATCCCCCGGCCAAGGGAAAAAAAAAAAAAAAAAAACTGGGTTTAATCACTAATACCAAAAAAAACCCCAAAAATGTTTAAAAGCTCTACACAGCAAAGAAAACAAGAATGTGAAAAGAGAACCTACAGAATGGGAGAAAATCTTTATTAGCTACTCTTCTGACAGGATTAAATCAAGAATGTAGAAAGAGCTTAAACAGACACTTCTCAAAAGAAGAAATACAAATAATCAACAAACATGAAAAATGTCCAACATCATTAGAAATTGGGGAAATTAAAATCAAAAATACCCTGCGGCTTCATCTCGTACCAATCAGAACAGCAGTCTTCAAGAATACAAACAATAGGGGCTCAGGATGTGGCTTAAGTGGTTGCATGCTTGCCTGGCATGCATGAGGCACTGGGTTCGATCCTCAGCACCACATAAAAATAAAATAAAGATATTGTGTCCATCTAAAACTAAGAAATATTAAAAAATTATTAAATAAAAGAATACAAACAATAATGTTAGGATGTGGAGAAAAAGGAACATACACTATTAGTGGAATTGTAAATTAGTACAACCACTACAGAAATCAGAGTGGAGGTTGCTCAAAAGACTAGACATGGAACAACTATATGACCCAGTTATACCATTTCTCAGTCTTTATCCTAAGGAATTAAGTAATCGTAGAAATACATGTATACCCATGTTTATAGCAGCACAATTCACAATAGCCGTCAACTATAGAACCAGCCTAGGTTTCCATTATTAGATGAATGTATAAAGAAAATATGGTACATATACACAATGAACTTTTATTTAACAAAGAAAAATGAAATTGTCATTTATAGGAAAATAGATGGGACTTGAGGATATTATGTTAAATAAGCTAAACTGAGATAGTCAAGGGTCTTATTTTTTTCTCATGTGGAATCTATAGAGGAAAAAGGAAAATAATGGGGGGATCTCATGAAAATCTAAGGGAGATCAAAATAGAGGCAAGGGAAAAGGAAGGAGCAGGGGAAAAACTGGGGGATAATACTGGTCAAATGTTGTGTGCATGTATGAATATTTAACAGCCAATCCCACCATTCTGTACAACTATAATACACCAATAAAAAATATGGGGAAAAAAATAACTGAGGATGTAGCTCAGTGGTTGAGGGCCCCTGGGTTCAATCTCCAGTACCACCAAAAAAGGAAGGAAAGAAGACTTTAAGCGTCAGAAGCTATCATTCAATCAGTTAACAGAAAAATAAAGCAAAGTTTCAAAAGGAAAGAAAAAAAATAACTTATGTTTTCTGACCATAAAGAAATTAGGTTAGAAATCAATAACAAAAATCTATTGTGATTCCAATTTACACTTGTGTAAATAACGTGGTATAAAGTATATAACAATTTCTTTTCTTTTTTTGGTACCGGGGATTGAATCCAGGGGCACTTAAGCACTGAACCACATCCCTAGCCCTTTTTTGTTTTAAATATTTTTTTAGTTGTAGATGGACACAATATTTTATTTATTTTTTTATGTGGTGCTGAGGATCAAACCCAGTGCCTCACTCATGCAAGGCAAGCGCTCTACCACTGAGCCACAACCCTGCCCCAGAGAATATATTACAAAAATTCTGGTTGTCACACTGATAGCAAACATGCTAAAATGTGAGAAAAGTGCACTTCAGAATAGAAAAAAAAAAATTCTGGTTGTTATAAGGCTTAACAATACGTTATTTATGAGACATAAAGCATTTAGCATAAAGCATATAACATTGCTAAGCACATAACAGCCATTATTACATGTTTCAGATCCTGGTTTGCCCAGGGCTAGGGATGTAACTCAGTAGTCAAGTGCCCCTGAGTTCAATCCCCAGTACCAAAAAGAAAAGAAAAGCATAATAAAACCCAGGGGACCTTAACCACTGAGCCACATCCCCCACCCCTTTTTTGTGTTTTAGAGGTCTCACTGAGTTGCATA